CAATGCATGCGCAAACCACCAGTCAACGCACAATGGCGAAGCTTACAAGGGCCTTTCAACAAGTGCAAGATGGCTATGTTTGTGTGTAAATGAATTCCATCCACAGGTCATTGTTCACAAGGGATGACCGTTCAAATGTGATCTTCAAGTCATAATGGCCAAATGGATTGTAGCAGAAACCAAAATAAGCCAGCCAAAGTGTTTTGCTCCATGTAGAATTTGCCAGCTTGGTTTCCAAGTGCCAACATTAATAGTACTGTAATTCCACAGGATGCATTTCCTTTCATGGAGTTGTGGTGGCCACTCAATGAAGGTGGATGAGGACGAGGAGGAGGAACACATTCACATTGGTGTGGGGAGGACGAGGAGGAGGAGGAACACATTCACATTGGTGTGGGTGGAGGGTTGACGAGGATTGGCTATTTGCAGCAATGGAAGTTCGATACTTTCGGGGCTGAATCGATACTGACTTTGGCAAATTGCCCCTTTTCTTGTTTTTGTAATGCGCGAAGCACCAATCTTACCACATTTTCGAGTCCAAAAACAGGCGTCCAGTCTTGATTGAACTAGTGTGAGAATATCATACATTAAAAAAACCCTAGCAACGAAAGATAAAATTGACTGATGCAATCGCTTTATACATGCAAATGGAAACTATATATATATAATTAATTTCACAAACTAATATTTTTTTTATAATTATAACATTAGTCATAGCTATAGCTACAGCCACAACAAAAACTATAATATTAAATATGAAAAGTAGCTCAAAAACTATAATATATGAAAAGTAGCTAAATTAATTGCTTTTTAATTTATCTTTTAATAATTATAAGTTTGAGTTTTTTCAGTTATTGGTTATTAAAAACTAACATAATTATTAATTTTAAAATTAATAAAATTAATTAAAATTTATGCAAGTTAATCAGAATATTTATATTAATAAAAATAATTACAATATTTACCCAAAATACCCGCAAGCCATTTATCCTGACCCAATCAGCTAGAATTTCAGCTTGACATTAATTTGGTCTATTCAATCTTGATTTGGCATATTTTTTAATATATTTTTTTAATTTAAGAAATTACACATAAATTTTTTATATATATAATTTTTTCTACACAAAAAAATATTATTTTTTATTATCCAAATCTCATTCTTGATGATATAAAAAGTCAAGTTAGAAACATGTTTAAAATTGTAATAATTATTATAATTTAAAGTTTTTTTCTCATAAATATAGTAATTTATTTTTTAAAAATTATTTTTAATATAAGTATATTAAAACTATTCAAAAATATTAAAAAATATTAATTTAAAAAAATTAAAAAAAATTATCCATAGCCTTACAATCCTCAGCCAACATATGCACATAAGATGATATTTTACTAGAATTTCTCTTGGAAGATTATAATTATGAAATTTACAAATCATACAAATAAAACCCACAAAGAGACATCTAAGAAAGAAAATTTGGGAAGAATCTTCAAAGAAAGGTGGAGAACAGTTTTCTTTTTATCGGAAGGAGAAAGAGGAATCTAGCACAAGATGAGAGCATATCCCTTCAGTAAATTACACATAAAGGAGAGTCCACATATGACGTGGCAAGCTCAACTACGTAAGACACCACGTATGATTTTATTTTCTTTATTATCATTATTACAAATTAGGACTTATACATACAAAAACTAACAGCATATTGTGGACTCAAGTCTTATATTTACTGTGTATAAACTATTGAATTTAAATTGAATAATTCAGTGCGTGATAAAAATAAATAAAAATTATATTTATTATTTTATTTCTTTTCTCTAATTTAAATCATCAAATTTCATAAAAATCAAAACATTACTAATCATTTTCTCATAAAAAACAACAAAAATTCAAATCTAAACTCGAACACCAATGAAATGTTGTTCTTATAATTAAAGTATTGTTATATCTTTATAAAGATATTATAAATATAATTTAATTTTTAAAGATATAAAGTATTGTTTTATAATTAAAGTATTGTTATATCTTTATAAAGATATAAACATAATTTAATTTTTTAAAAATATTTTTATTAAAAAATATTTAAATAAAATTAATCTCACTCTTTAAAAAAATATAAAAATACCTGGATAAAAAAAAAATCTAAACTTTGATAATGTTATATAATGCTATAATATTCGATATGGTGACCTGTCAATTCAAGATAAATTTAGTAAAAAAATGTAATATTTCTTGTTTTATCAAAATTAAATCGTTTTAATTATTTTTTAAAATTTAAGAGATAAAATTAAGCTCAATCAAATCAACTCATCCAACGATCTCAAGACACGTGGGATGCGTTTTAATTATGGAAGATTTTCTAACATCACACCGTCCTAGCTAAAGCTAATAATACTAAACATCTTTACATTTAAGACAATCATGTTATCTACCTACGTGTGGCATTAATATTGGGAGTTTAGCCCTATAATCCGTGATTTAATTTAATTAACTGCTCAATTACTCATTTATTATTACATTCACACTTCCCCTTCTTGTTAGAATGCTAGTGATGGATTGTAGCAGAAACCAAAATAAGCCAGCCAAAGTGTTTTGCTCCATGTAGAATTTGCCAGCTTGGTTTCCAAGTGCCAACATTAATAGTACTGTAATTCCACAGGGTGCATTTCCTTTCATGGAGTTGTGGTGGCCACTCAATGAAGGTGGATGAGGACGAGGAGGAGGAACACATTCACATTGGTGTGGGTGGAGGGTTGACGAGGATTGGCTATTTGCAGCAATGGAAGTTCGATACTTTCGGGGCTGAATCGATACTGACTTTGGCAAATTGCCCCTTTTCTTGTTTTTGTAATGCGCGAAGCACCAATCTTACCACATTTTCGAGTCCAAAAACAGGCGTCCAGTCTTGATTGAACTAGTGTGAGAATATCATACATTAAAAAAACCCTAGCAACGAAAGATAAAATTGACTGATGCAATCGCTTTATACATGCAAATGGAAACTATATATATATAATTAATTTCACAAACTAATATTTTTTTTATAATTATAACATTAGTCATAGCTATAGCTACAGCCACAACAAAAACTATAATATTAAATATGAAAAGTAGCTCAAAAACTATAATATATGAAAAGTAGCTAAATTAATTGCTTTTTAATTTATCTTTTAATAATTATAAGTTTGAGTTTTTTCAGTTATTGGTTATTAAAAACTAACATAATTATTAATTTTAAAATTAATAAAATTAATTAAAATTTATGCAAGTTAATCAGAATATTTATATTAATAAAAATAATTACAATATTTACCCAAAATACCCGCAAGCCATTTATCCTGACCCAATCAGCTAGAATTTCAGCTTGACATTAATTTGGTCTATTCAATCTTGATTTGGCATATTTTTTAATATATTTTTTTAATTTAAGAAATTACACATAAATTTTTTATATATATAATTTTTTCTACACAAAAAAATATTAATTTAAAAAAATTAAAAAAATTTATCCATAGCCTTACAATCCTCAGCCAACATATGCACATAAGATGATATTTTACTAGAATTTCTCTTGGAAGATTATAATTATGAAATTTACAAATCATACAAATAAAACCCACAAAGAGACATCTAAGAAAGAAAATTTGGGAAGAATCTTCAAAGAAAGGTGGAGAACAGTTTTCTTTTTATCGGAAGGAGAAAGAGGAATCTAGCACAAGCTGAGAGCATATCCCTTCAGTAAATTACACATAAAGGAGAGTCCACATATGACGTGGCAAGCTCAACTACGTAAGACACCACGTATGATTTTATTTTCTTTATTATCATTATTACAAATTAGGACTTATACATACAAAAACTAACAGCATATTGCGGACTCAAGTCTTATATTTACCGTGTATAAACTATTGAATTTAAAGTGAATAACTCACTGCGTGATAAAAAAAAATTATATTTATTATTTTATTCCTTTTTTCTAATTTAAATCATCAAATTTCATGAAAACTAAAACATCATTTATTATTTTAAAAAATAATAATAAAAATTTAAATCTAAACTCGAAGAGCAATAAAATATTATTCTAATGATTAAAATATTATTATATTTTTATAAAAATAAAAAAAATTAATTTTAAAAAAAAATACTTATTAAGAGTAGCGGTCACTAAAGCTCAACTATATTAATTTTATTTTAAAAAATAAAAATATTTAGTTAAAAAAACTAAATAAATAAACTTTATATAATACTATAATATTCAATACGGTGACCTGTCAATTCAAGATAAATTTAGTAAAAAAATGTAATATTTCTTGTTTTATCAAAATTAAATCGTTTTAATTATTTTTTAAAATTTAAGAGATAAAATTAAGCTCAATCAAATCAACTCATCCAACGATCTCAAGACACGTGGGATGCGTTTTAATTATGGAAGATTTTCTAACATCACACCGTCCTAGCTAAAGCTAATAATACTAAACATCTTTACATTTAAGACAATCATGTTACGTGTGGCATTAATATTGGGAGTTTAGCCCTATAATCCGTGATTTAATTTAATTAACTGCTCAATTACTCATTTATTATTACATTCACACTTCCCCTTCTTGTTAGAATGCTAGTGTCAAGTCAAGGGAGATTAATAGCCTGTTTGAAAGGTTGATTGTAATTATTTTTTAAATAATTTTTTGTATTAAAATATATATTAATAATATTTTTTATTTTTTAAAAATTATTTTTAATATTAGTACATTAAAATAATTTAAAAATACTAAAAATATATTAATTTAAAATTAATAAAAAAAATAATTTTTTTTAAAAATATTTTTAAAATACAAAAATAAACCAGTGCAGTAAAAGAAGTAGAGAACCAAGCACTGACACCTCCCATGATCCATAAGGCGTACGAGAATGCAATATCGAACGGTCCAGATTCACCGTAGACTGGCTGTTGAAAAAAGGGAAGTGACAGTTACTGTAGCGTCTTCTTTCACCTTCCTTCAATAAAGCCAAGTTCTCTCTCTCTCTCTCTCTGCATTTATATATACACACGCATTAACGTACGCAGTATTATATGCTCTCTTGATTTCAAGCTTTTCAGGGTGGAACGTCAGTTCTTCTATCTCTCTGTAAGCCTCTATCCTTTTCTCCACTTTTAATGGTTTTAAACATTCCATTTTTTTTCTTTTATTTCAAGTTGGGTTTGAATAGGTGGTTTTATTTTGTTGATGCTTTTTTTGATGGAATCTGGATTTTTTTGTGCTAAAAAAGTAAAGGGTATTTGTTAGATTTTCAAATGGGTTTTTTTTAGCATTTATATTTTAGCGTCTGCTGCATGTGGTTTCAGGGTTTTGTTTGATCATTCTAGTCTTGCGTGTGTGTTTTCTCTCTCTTTTGTTTTCTTTTTGAGTTTGCAAGAACTATATTTTGCGTTTTTCTTGGTTCGTTGTTTGATTTTGTTGCACATGTAGACTGAGGTTTTGTTTTGTGTTTGTGTTCATTTTTACTGATTTTGATTTATTTTTTTTGGTCGAGAGATTTGCTTTAATCATCTGGTGATTATAAACTAGTATGTTTTGTGGCTTCTTTATTTGTTGTGATTTTTTGCATGATTCAGAGTTATGTAGCTGAAAAATAGAGCAAAAAAGAAAAAAAATTTTGTACCAGGGTTTTCTTTTCCTCTGAAAAAGAAAATGCTCCGTCTCTCCTGTGATTTCTGGGTTTGCTTTAATATTTGGTGTTTGAATTCGTATCATTTGAACTTCGTTATGTATGTGTGTGTACAATTTGTCCTAGTCAACATCTTGCTGAATCTTGTTTGACCTGTCTATTTATTTTTTTCATTCATTGTGAAAACTTTATTTTTCTTAATTGAGTAATTGTATTTATGCCTTTGTTTGTCTTCCCTAGCTCCTTCTAATCAAAATGATTTGTGTTTTATGGCGGATGATTATGGTTTTGTTATGATTATGGTTGTGTTTTGTTTTACGCAGCAACACTGAAAACATGGCTAACAATGATGGGGAAGTGACCGGGAAACGTGCAGGATGGCCTCCTGTTCTCAATGAAAGGATCCTTTCTTCAATGTCCCGGAGATCTGTTGCTGCGCATCCCTGGCATGACTTGGAAATTGGTAACTCTCGTTGCTTAACATGCCACAGTTGTATTAGTAGAGTATGTTTATACAGATACTTCTCTCTTCGCATGGTCCCATTGTGTTATTGCATTTCTTACATTTTCCATTGATCATGCTATATGTTTCAATTTATGCAGGACCTGGTGCTCCAAGTGTTTTCAATTGTGTAAGTTCTTTTTCTCTCATTTTGTTGCATGGTCGTGGAAAATGCATGCATTTATCTCTTATCTTCATGAGTAACTCTCATCTTCATTCAAGAGAATTAGTGAGGTTTGAGACTCTATGTTTGGCAATGGATGCATTGGATAAGGAAGTACATTCAAGAAATATATACCTTATGAGATGATTCTGAAAATTGGTATATAGTTGCATTTATGGAATGTTATCCCCTGATGCTAATCGAAACAGGATTCTTGACCATGAAGTCTGGACTTATAGTTTATTGCTCTTGTTACATTAAGATACTTTGAATTAGATCTTATAGTTGATTTGCATGACAGGTGATTGAGATCAGCAAGGGCAGCAAGGTTAAGTATGAGCTTGACAAGGCAAGTGGCCTTATAAAGGTATGATCTTGTTCTTCATTTTTTCTGTTATTTTTTTTCCCTTTAAGATAATTAATCTATGTATTTTTCCTTATCAGGAAATGTAACTTTAAATTTATTCTCTCTGATGATGAGTTTTTTTTAACCTTGTTGTTCATGACAGAAAGTAGGATAGTTAATACATTGGTAGTGGAAAACAAGAACCATGTGGTTTTACTCTTTCATCTTTCCATTCTGCATGATGTCATGCCTAATGGGGAATAGACTAGAAATCCAACTGAATAATGTTATGTACAGTGAAGATGTTGTCCTGTTAGACAAAGAAAACACAGAGAGAAAGATGAACCTGTAACTATAGGTCTTCCGCAAGGGTCTAAAATTCTGGGATTCACCTCTTAGGTTGCTTTATGGTGAATTCTTTAAGTGCAATTAATACTGCAAAGTCAGTTTCGGCATGTGTCGTGTTTTCCTTTGTTTTATGTCCTTTATTAAGACGAACATGTGCTACTGCTTTGCCATAAGTATGGTTTTACTCCCTGTTATGTTACATGAAGAAAAAACTTATTCCTCATCTTAAGAACAGGTTGATCGTGTTCTCTACTCATCAGTTGTTTACCCACACAACTATGGTTTCATCCCACGAACTCTTTGTGAGGACAGTGACCCTATGGATGTTCTGGTACTGATGCAGGTAGTGTCTTTTTGGCCTTAAAAAAATCTGTCCATTAAAAAATATTGACTTAAATTTCAAAGCTCAACTGCTTTAACAAGTTGTTTGATTATTCCTTGCCATAGGAGCCTGTGCTACCCGGTTCTTTCCTTCGTGCTCGTGCAATTGGTTTAATGCCCATGATTGATCAGGTACAACTTTTAATTTTTCCCATAATTGCTTCTGTCTTCTTACTATAACAGATTTTGGGGCCATTGGGGATACAAAAGAAAGGGCCGCCGAATGATTCCACCTTTTGCTCATATTGCATTAGATTATTGAATATTGTACCTAGAGAACATTTCAGTCTATAAATTATTCTGCTGCTCTGGCTATCTCTAGAGTCTGAACAGAAACTCATATACAAAACTAAATTCATATTATGCATCATCCTGGCATCACTGTATAGACATGCAGCCATGTTTTTGAGTGGTGCCTTGGCAGTTGGTTATGTAAAAAACAAAGGAATTTTGTTCCCTACTCCCTGATATTGTACAAGAAATTTGATTACAGAAAATTTACTGCATATTTTTTCTCCTCATCTGTACCTGAATCGAGCGCTGGATAGGGATTATCGATCACTAACTAGAATTGCATTGCAGGGTGAAAAGGATGACAAAATCATTGCAGTGTGTGCTGATGACCCTGAGTTCGTCCATTACAAGGACATCAAGGAACTTCCTCCGCATCGCCTGGCTGAAATTCGCCGCTTTTTCGAGGACTGTATCCATATTCATACAAGTTCATAATTTGGTTTACTTGTAGTCACAAGTCAGAAAGAATAATTAGTTCCTCCATTGAATAAGCGGTCAAAACTTATTGAATCCACTACATACAACGTACGCTAATTATCCATTTAAAACATCTCCATTGCAATACTGTATATCCTTTACGTATGATGAATAATAGATAAGAAGAATGAGAACAAGAAAGTTGATGTTGAAGACTTCTTGCCAGCTGGCTCTGCAATTGATGCCATCAAGTATTCCATGTGAGTTATTTCCTTTCCTCTGTAAAAAATTGTGGCGTGTTTTTTGTCAGACTTAAAGTCTATGATGGATTTCTGGTTTGTATAATAGAGTATTCTTACTTGTGATTTTTGTATTCTTTTCCAGGGATCTGTATGCATCTTACATTGTTGAAGGTCTGAGGCAGTGACTGAAGATTAGTTAGGTGAATGGCTGATAGCTGAGGCACCACTTAGTGTCAATCATGCAAGGGCTAGACTTCTTGATAAATGCCTGTTTGCAATGCTTCTAATATTCACCGGAGTTCATGGTTCACCCATGCTTGTGTTTGATATTATGCTTATATCTAATCAATAGAAATACCAGATGCTCGTTGCAGCTTCTGGAACAAAATACATATCATTTCAATAGGGTCTTGGTTCATAGAGTGATTTTTTCTCATTTTCAATTTTAGGAATACTATATATAGCTAATGATTCAACTAAGTATTCGTATTTGTAGAGACCGGCAACGGAGATGAATGTGCTGTGAAATTAGACTGTTAGCAGGGGCAAATCAAAGAGATTTTCCTACTAGAATGGAAAGAATTATAGTTTTTGTTAGCAGTATATGAACACAAGTGATCATGTCCGCAAATGCAGTCGATCGCCTTTGACCATGACCTTTTACTCAGAGAACTTTGTATAGAATGCGTGGATATGTGATGATGGTCAGTATTCATGTATGCAGTCCGGTCACTGGTGACCTTAGCAGTGTCTGATAAAAATGGACAAGCGTAGTCGGAAAGTCAATGGCTCATCTATTGGCGGCAGCGCACACATCTTCATCATGCTAGCTAATCGAACAATTGCTGTATTTCTTTGATTAATTCATACGGTACTGAAACGAGCAAGCAAACGTGTAGCGGTGGTCATAAAACACCCCCTGTAGATGGTGGGACAAACTTGTTTTCTACTTCTTTTTACAATATTGCTTTTGCCCGTGGATTCATTCCACCCATTATTTTGTTCTCCTTTGCGAAAGAAGTAATGTCGTAGCACCGAAGTACTGAAGTCCTTCACCAGCTCAAATCGTCTGTGTTCTAACTTCTACCAAAGAAATGGGCCAGAGAAAAAAATATATATCATCAATGTATTTTGTTGGAGTCTAGATAAGAGATAATTTATTAAAATTCAAGCGAGAATAATTTGTCATCAATGCACAAGTCAGACTATGATTTCCCTGGTTGACAGTGGCTTGACAGCCCAAGGGGGGGTGTTTCTATCTGTTGGGTCACCCCAGGTTCACCTCACAAACCCAGTTGGGCTAGGTGTCTTAGATCTTGGATCACGATTGGCTCACCTTAGCCAGTTCAAAAAATTGAAAAAACTGGAAGCAATCTTCTTCGGTCAATAGTTACCCCTGCAAAGTTGGAATATTGTTATTAAAACCGGCACAGCCTGCCAATCCAGGACCCGACTCAAACCAGGTTTTGTATCCAATAAGGTGCGAGTTGATCCAATCATACATGATTAATATGATAAGTCAAACAGCTTGATCAATCCTGTCAAAGTTAAAATCCGAGTAAAACCTAGTTTGATTTTAAATAAATATTTTAAAAGAAAAGAAAATAACATTATTTCAATTCTTTTACAAATATTAAAACAATATTCTTTTAAACTAATCCTAGTCAACTCGATTTCACCTATCTAAGATATGACTATATGACTCGAGCTTTAAATTCAATGACCGGCCGGTTTTATAACTATGGTTGCTGCCAGGATTTGGTTTGCACACGTGAAGCTTGGTGCCCACAGGTTTGAAACATCCAGCCCGAATATACTCTCCCGCTCACAAAATTGCAGGCCAAGTTGTACATGGGCGTACACCCACTTGTTCATTTTCCAAGGTCATGGCCAGCCAATTCTTTACTAAATTCCACGACACAGTGGTGCTAATATAATACAAGTCTGGTGTTTTTATGATTAAATCAGCCTCAATGTCCACGTATATGCTGTGTTGTGCCCCCCACTAAGCATGCCGACCATGAGCGCATTGTACAGAGCAAGAACCATCATCTTATATTATATTAATACTATAATATAAGATCAAAATTTTGCAGAAGTGTGAACCACATCGTTGATTAACCCATTTTATGAAGATCTTCAAACCTTGAAAACCTAGCTTTTTACTAATACAGTAAGGGTATGCCTTCATCGTCATACCCAGAAAAAATGTATTTAATTATTCAACGAACATATTGATGACGGAAAATCATGCCCAAGAATGATGACTTTTTCGATAAAGTGGCGAACACTTGGGGCCCAGAATGGCTCCCCTCTCTGCTCTTCTTCTGGCATTGGTAATTGGTTTCAATCTCTTATTAGAATGGGCCCCATCTATGATTTCAATCATTCAGACTTTTATTTTGCTTCTTTTCTTTGCTTTTCTCCATTTACCCCTCAAATTTTCACTCGTATGTGATAATATATATATATATATATATATATATATATATATATATATATATATATATATATATATATATATATATTTAAAAAATATAATATAAAAATAAATTTACTTTTACAATAATTTTATAATAAATTTTAATATTTTTAAAATAAAAAAATAGAAGGATATTCATAGTATAGTATGCTCTAAATATTTTTATTATATTAATATGGATGTCCGAGATAACTTATATGCATCTTAAGTAATTTAATAAATTTTAAAATTAATAATTATTTATATTTTTAATAATTTTAAAATTTTTAAGATTTAAACTAGTAATTTTTAAAAAATAAATTTATAACTTGCCTGTTCAATTACACTCCCTGGAATTTATCTTAAATATCTTTATTTATATTAGTGTGTTTAATATTACAGCATATGATATTTTTTTAAAGTATTTTTAGTTAAAAAATATTTCAAAATAATAATAATTTTTTATTTTTTATTTATAAAAAATATTAAAATGATATCTTTTAATATATATATATATATATATATATATTGAAAATCTCTAAAAATAAAAATTACCGTACTCTGATACGGTACTGTAGTGAGATGCCAATCAAATATTACAATGATGTACATGTACAATAAGGCTGCAGCAGCAGCAGCTATCAAGCCTATGGTGTTGTGGACGGTGATTGGTCACCGGATACCACCAGAACCAAGAGACTAAAAGCTGGACCACCTGAAAAGAGAACGCATCTTGAATCTCTCTTCACTCTAAGGATTTCCTTGTGTTTATATACGAGTTCACAGTGGAATTTAGCAGCTTTTACTAATTTGTTTATCATTACGTGGTTTCTCTGGCCAGAACATGGCTCTGAAGCTCTCCACGACAAAAAGAAACGCCCGCTGTGGGCTAGATTGGGGACAGCTGCCGGAGCAATAAACTAAAGAGAAGATACTGACATTGTTAGGCTAAAATTACATTCTGATTCCAAGAACTCGATTTTATCCTTTTTATTATCTTGTCTGTGTGTGAGAGGGAAAAGGGTATCCAAGAAGGACAAGATTATTCGCAGTAAACCTTCCAAAACAAGGCAAGATTGATTTCCTGATTCATGGATCTGTTTTGCAGACAGTTTTCTTAATATTCAATCATATTATATGATCCTTAATCTTACTTTGATCCCTCGAAAAGCGCAGGTCAAGCTTGAATAAATGCACCCTCTGTGCTGTTCTAGTTGTCTTTGAGCTCTGGTGCTTGCAAAAAGACGGGGGCCAGCTAGACGTTGTCGTTCTTTGCCATTATGGTCGGCTTTTTTTAATTAGACCGGAACTGTACCTTCATGGTCGGCTTTTATTTTTTTAAATTAACGTAGGTGTCTGGACCAGCTTGCGTGCACCACGACTAATCCTATAAATCCTGAAGTTAACGACCATATAAATTTCTGGTGGCCATCATATAAGCAACTAAGAACTCAAATCTGGGATCACAAAAAAAATAAACTCCTTCATCTTACCACTTAACTACCACTAGACTTAACTACCACTAGAGACTTTTTTTAATTAGACCGGAACTGTACCTTTTGGACCTTATATGCTTAATCAGTAATGATTAATGATAGCAGCAGTGTAGCACTTAATTAGCTTGTAGGGAACGCGGTTTAAAATATTGATGGGTAAAAAAACTATTACTTTAATATATTTTTAAATTAAAAAACACTTTATTAGCAAGAATAAAAAATAAAGAGATTATCATTATTTTACCTTGACATTCTCTGTCAAGAGTAACACTTTATTTATCAAGAATAAAAAATAAGGAGATTATCATTATGTTACCTTGATATTCTTGATCAAGAGTTCATGTTTTTTCTATTTTTCTTTTATATTTTAAAAATATTTTTTTTAAAATATATTTTTTTTATTTTTTTTACTTAAAATTAATATATTTTTTTATATTTTTAGATCAATTAGATGCACTAATATCAGAAATAATTTAAAAAATATATTATTTAAATATATTTATAAATAAAAAATATTTTTAAAAATAATCATAATTATACTCTCAAATAGTCACAATCAATTTTTAATAAAATATATTACATCATATCTTCACACGTAATTTTACGGATTATTAGAAAATAGATGCACTATTCCAAACTCATAATTTTAAGATAGTTTTGAAGGTTCAATTCCATCATTTTATATTTAATAAGTTAGGAATTTAATATATTATTGTTGTTTTAAAAAAAATAATTTTTTACCTATAAATATTTTTTTATAAAAAAAATATAAATCAAGTAATGAATTTATCTTTTATTTTTTTGAAATATACTTGCAATACTTGAGCACGATATTATTTTATAAAAAAAAAAGGCTGGTAATTAAAATAACACGGTCCTCAACTAACTAGTTAATACATTTTACTGTAATATACTTGACAAATATGTTTGCATCATAACTTCTACATGTAATCTAAGAAATTTTTGTTGTTGATATATCAAGGTTTAAATTTAAGATATCTTCGTCTCTAGTATGATAATAAATATGTAATCTAGGAAATTTTTGTTGTTTATATATCAAGGTTTAAATTTAAGATATCTTCGTCTCTAGTATGATAATAAATATAAATAGAGCCATCTTCCATTTTCATGACTTAATAATCAAACCTCCAGCGAGAAGATCAAAAGCCTCCACCGTTAAACCTTGTCCGATAATATCGTGGGTGCTTGTAAATTCTGCCGGCCATCTATCAAGTGATTTAAACACAGTTTGTTATTGTGGTGTTGCAGTGTTTTTTTTTAATTATTTTTTTTTTGTTTTAAATTATTTTTTTTTATTTTTTATCATTTTAATATGTTGATGGTAAAGATAATTATTTTTAAAAAATACTTATTATTTTAATATATTCATAAATAATTAAAAAACATATGATGTAAAACACTATGGATCACAAAAAAAATAAACTCCTTCATCTTACCACTTAACTA